GAAAAAATAACTTGAAAATGCATTTGTATATTAAATTTAAATGCGTATCTCTATGAAAAGTTTGCATTTCGACCAATAGAGTTGTTCAACCTTTGAATTGGGTTTCATACTCAAGCGACACTGAAAGCACTTGTACACGTCTTGTATGTGCCATGTGTTGTTTGAATACATTGCTCGGTTCAAACGAATTTTATTCAGCAGAGCAAGACTTATGAATTTCAAAGTCCTAGCCTCTAAGGGTGGAGGAATGCTGCATAATCATAAAAATTCAAACAATGGATTTTCGTATGTCCTTTACTGTATTCGCAGTCGTCTAACAGTTAGCTATTACCCAGAAATGCGAAATTTATCGGTTCCATAAAAGGGGATAAATAGGTCATATTTAATGAAAGTACATATTTTTAAAACCGATTGACGAGTTTTGGCCAAGCTATTGTATATAATAATATAATGAATCTCTTTTACCTTGCAAACAAAGCAAGGGTACTTGGTTTCAAGATGTAGGTCTAGTATGAAATCACTTTATCGTTGTAAAGGCTCATATGCCACTTGTTAATATGAAATGTGTAGTCGCTTGTTCATAAACATTGAAATATGACGACAACTACCAGCCTTTTAGCTCAAAAATCCATTTGTAAAATTCAAATCAGGAACGGAGAAAACAAGGACCTCCAAAAACAAGATTGGATCAGGTGCCTAGGAAGAGTAGGCATGGACTGGTCCCAACCGCCGTGTGCTCCTTGTCATGATAGGGAAACGGAGAAATCCGTTGAAAATTCAATGTGGAAATAATGGTCTACCGATTCGTTAGAAAAATTTCAGTCATTATTCGACTTAACGATATAAATCGTATTTAAAATGACACAGGTTTATTTCCCCGTAATAACGAAGTGTAAAAAAAAAAAAAAAAAAAAAAAAAAAAGAGAAAATGTTAATTGCATCTGATAATCAGTATACTGCCTTGCGTTTATCTACGATAGACAAAAATTGAAAGGGAATTCATGATATGTGTGTAACTGGCCTTGACATGTTGCAATCAACTAATTTCTTCCTAGAAATTAAACCTTAAATATAAAAGGTATATACATGTACTTCAGTTAGGAACGTATATGTTTGTAAATGCCATCTCCAATTCTTCTTCTTCATCCTTTTGCCTGGATTCGTTTTATTAGTACTCTGAGTCATCGATAGTTTAGTAGTACATAGACACTGGTAAAATGAACCGTCATAAAAGGGTAGGATAAGAGAAAAACAACTTCCTCGATATTATTAAACTTCCTTTTGCGGTTTATATTATCATTTGCAATTTAGCGGTTTGTCCAAAATTGTCACGTTTATCTACGTATGATTTTGTGTGTGATTTTGTTGTCTGATTGCTGTATCTCAAACAATGCTTCATGATGTGCCTTTACATATAAAAGTATTTCAATTCCGCGTTGGGATTTCCTAGTTATCTTATAAATAAAACTGTCGATATGATGTGAACACAATTATTATTTGTTTATATTATTTCAGAAAATCTTTTATTACTTCCCTCAAGTAGAAACTTGAGGGAAGTTGTCATCTACTTGATCTGATTAATAAAAACCAAAAAAAAGTGTTCATGAGATCAGTTGTTTCGTTGTACTCATTTATGTTAGACGTGTTTATGAGACATATATAGATATATTTATGGGAAAATCTGATGAAAACGAAATACCCGTAAAGATTGTGTTGCTAGGCTATACCTTTGCTGGGAAAACTTGCCTTGTGGCCAGATTTACTCATAACAGATTTTACAATGCAGAAGCTGTAAGTCTAACATTTATAAACTGTTCAAATTGTTTTAAAAACATAATTCATTGATGAAAAAAAAAGTTGGCTGATCTAAAGAAAATAAATATCAAGGTTTATATACTGCATTTACAGCCAAGGAATGATCATATTAATGTTAATGGGACAGGTTAAAGTTATTGAAGCAATTTCTTTATATGTAACGTCAAACCCTGTCTTACCAAACTGACTTGGAATCCAGAAATTCATCGTTAGACTTGCTTTTGATGTTGGATTTAACCTACATATTTTGGATGAGTGACAATTCCCGAGTTTTTGGAGCAGGCTTATTCCTGTGTAACTAGATCTAGCATGCATGGATTTTTCGTCCCCAAATGCACACTATCAAACTTGCCATAGATGCTGGATTTGGTCGACGTTTTACTGAAGATATAGCAGGTAAGCTTTTGGAACAGGTTCATTCTAGTGTAACCTCAAGCCTTATTTAAGACCCACTTAACATGGATACATGTAATGCTTCATCCACACAGCTAGCTTTGCTTAGGGTGAAGGATTTGCTTAGCTTTTTATGATGAAGTGACCAAGTAAGCAATTTTTCAATTTCAAACCCTTCATAGAACAAACTTGCATTGATGCATGCTAGTTGACTCAATGTGGATGATGGATCTCCCCCATTTTTAATGCTAGTAAGTGGCTAGTTTATAGTTTTTGATATTAGTTATTTCAAGAGAAACTGCAAGCCCTGCATAGACCGAAACTGCATAAATGTTTCATCCATGGATGCACATTACTAATTTATTAGTTTAGCGTGGGGCCTTCTGTCTTACTAAAAGCTCTGTAATCTTTGATTATGTATGATTAGCGATAAAAAGACACACGTGTTAATATCATTTAAGTGTCTGCCGATTGTACGATCTTTTCTTGGTACATTTTAAACTTGATCATCTCATATTTAACCAAAGTTAACTTTGTTGAAATTAGAAATTAAAAATCATAAACAGGACGATCAAACTAGTTTATCTGAAATAAGAAGTTCACTCTGTTTTTGTTCTTTGTTTTTAGTGTTCTTCACTTTGTACATTTTATTGCTTTAAACTGCCAATAGTACAACGAAATCATATTGAGACAAAATTTTGATAGTATTTCAGCAAATATGACAATATTTTACAAGTGACGGATAATGACTCTTAACATTTCAGGAAATGAAGCTTTAAAACACTACTTGATTAACGTACATCATCCCAATTTTAGAACTTTTAATAAGCAGTCTTACCTTCCTTTGAGTTCACATGTTGTTAGACATGTTCCAAAATTATAAATAAAGAGGAAAGAAGGTTTTTTTGCGTTTATTTTATTTTGGTAACAGATATATACATGTACATCCCATTTCTGCTAGGCGTTACATCCTGTGTTTTTTTAAAAGCATTTAAGCTACATTTATATGATATGAACAGATAGATTATAAACCTTAACAGCATGTAAGATAACATATTTTGTGATCAAACAAAATGCATATATACGTATTTTTTTTTTAAAGAATTGTACTGGCGTTAAAAGGATGTAGGCAGAAGATAAATGTATTTTGTAAATGAATTTTCATCTTCGCATACAACGGGCTTTCGGTCCAATCTGCCCCCATAGGACCGAAAATCCTTGGCTAGCGAAGGTGGGTAGAGGAGATTTTTGGATGTGTTTTCTTTAGGACTTTACTTTTGAAAATAACATATCATATTCTCCAACTAGAGGCCAAATCTGTTATTAGTAGTATTTCAGTTTTGAGGTATAGGCTAAGTATAGGAAGTTGAACTTTAATTCCACTTAAATAAGTACAAGTACGCCATCTTAATTTTCTAAGTTTATCATGATTATAACCCTTTTCTTCTCCCTTATATCCACCGTGTGTCTGTCTATTTGTTCGCAAAAAAAAACAAAACATTAATCTTATCCATAACTTCTGATTCATTTTAGCTATTACATATTTCAAGTGTATATTTTTATTACAAGGCCTTTCTCAAGACATTCCGACATATTTGACCACTTAAACTTTTACCTCTACCTTGGAGTTTACCTAAATTGACCTTTCCTAAATACTTTACTACACTTTAAACTTGACCAGACAAGACTTTATTGGGTAGAAATAATTCTGGCCCTGATCTTAGAGTTTGACCTTCTTTTGAAATTCTTTAAATTTGGTTATATTTTTTGAATATTTAGTGCAAGGGCTTTCCAGTTTTACAGGTGTATTTTTTTTCTGGCATGTTTTTACTTTGAAACTAAAAACGAACCCCATTGACATTGATCTTGAACTTTTTTTTAAAAGAGCCTTTAAATTATTTCATAACTTTGGAATGGTTGATGTCAGCGTCAGGGCTTTCTTATTACACGAGTATAAAACATGGAGATAACGAACAGTTTTCAAGATCAAAAGAATATAAACAATACAAAATAGGAACAGAGCAAACACAGACCTGCAAAACATCAGAGGTGAGATCAGGTGCCATGGAGGAGTGAGCATCCCCTGCCGACCAGTCACACCCGCCGTGTGCTCCTTGTCACGATCGGGAAACAAGGGGAAAATTCGTCGTTAATTCAGTGTATAAATAATGGACTAACAATTTGTATGAAAAACGTCAATCAGCATTTGACTCAATGATAAATTGTATTTGCTGACAAGGTCGTTGTATTGACCGTAGAACTTAAGAGATGATGACTTTAAACGAGACCGCTGAAATTCTTGTTTCACCAACTTGTTTTTCGATAATTTACCTCGTTTTAGAAATTGTTCATACGTATTTGTATTCCAACTATTTTGATCCTCTAAAATTTGCCCATGAATTTCACCAACTTTTGAAAACTTGAACCTTGGCAATAACTTTTGAACTGTTATTGGTAGGGATTTCATTTTTCAGAAATATATTCATCGTGTTATTCACTGTATCCTTGGATACCGACTTCTTTCATCTCTTTACCTTAAATTTTGAGTTTGACTTGCATTTTTGAATCTTAACCTTTTAACCACGAGGTTTTTTTAAAGGGGGGCATCAGTGTTTCACAAACAAACAAATCTTGTTTCATCATGATTTTTAAGGTCAGATTGTGATGATATAGTATGTTAACATAACAATTGAATGGTGATAATTTTGCACTGATAAAAAAAAAATGGATTTGGTGCGGTATACGCACACCAGTGTTTTGTTATATATTTAGATACGTGTGTACTTTCGTTTTACAATCAATTCAAAACAATTCACGATGAGTTTTCCCCAAAACAATGAGTGCGATTTCGTTTTCAAAGTCGTAATTATAGGTGCAACTAATGTCGGTAAAACATGCTTGGTGAGACAATTTATTCACAAAACGTTTGTTGACAAGACAGCGCAGGTAAGCTTATGATTCTGTTGATGATAAACTAATCTTCACAACAACAACAAAAAAACATTCTAGAACAGGTCTGGACGATTTCCAAATAAGAAAGTCAAGAACGATAATCATGAATTGCTATTAATGCACAGAATAAGTAAGGCGCTAGTCCTTCTGACCAATCAGATAACAGCATTTAGACAAACCCATGAGAAAATAAATAAAACACGTGGTTATTAAGTTTTTTGCTCAAAAGATTTTTTTTAGAACAAACTTCTGGTAAACTTTAAGCGCATTTGGGAATAATATAATATTTATGACAATTCTACCGTGAACAAACACGACTTGAAAGCTTAGAATACGTTTTAAGTGGGATAAAAAATCTGTAACTAGGGGGTAGCAATCCTAAAAGTTTAACTTACGTTAAAAATTTGATATACGAGGGTTGTCCCAAAATTTCGTAGACTGACCTCATATTTTTTAAAGAAATTAATGTATCTTCATAAAATTTTCAGGGTGGATAAAGCGTGTTCTTGGCAGATAAATTACGAAGTTTTATCATGTTTACTTGAAAACTGTTCGAGTAATAACATTTGAAGTGATATCGTTCTATAACACCCGGAGCAATCTGCAACGTCAAAAAATACAAACGTCAACAGTTCAAATTTTTGGAGATAATATTTCAATTGTCAGAATCATATTATTAAATGAAACGAAACTGTTATAGTTATAAATGTGAAATATCTTAGTTACTATGATATTATCAAACATTAAATATGTAAACAAAGTATATGCATGTACAGGCCTAGGTATGAAATAATAATAATTTGAAAACGGTATATTTCTACGGGCTGGTCGTCTGTTTTCTCTAATGGAACTGCACAGTGAAACTCTCGCCCAGTTCTTAGCCTTGTCTTTTATTTTAGTTACTGTTATCCACATACACAGAGAAACCGTTTTAGTCATGTAAAATACTGAGGACGAGATAAAGTTTCCTAGTCTACCAAACATTTATGACTGGTACATTTCAGAGTAAATTCAGGATCGAAACACTTGATCGTAGTCCAGTGCGCCGCCTGTGCCAACGCAGCCGCCATTTTTCAAAAAGTCGGATTTCAACCCCATGTATATAAAAAGTTATAAAAATTCATATTTATCAAAGCATAAACACAAAAATTTGAGGAAATATAGTTAATAAAATAGTATTAAAATTTTTCGTTTCCATTCAAAAAATACAGGGTAGTAATTACTTTTCCGTAGGATTTTAAATATAATATACCAAAATTTAATTGCAACTTTTGGGTATTGCGCCGCCTTCCTACACCAGACAATGAAATGTGTCTTTTAAATTGGAATAGTTTATGTAGTTATTCCATATTTGTCTATAGTGTTGGTTAAATCTATGTACGAAGTTTCATTAATGTTTGACATTGGGTTCCTACAAAACAACGCTTGTCTACGGAATTTTGGGACAACCCTCGCAAATACGGAAAATTTTCAGTTTTTATAGCCTGACATAAAAATCTTATCGAATAAATATCAGTCTTATTATTTTTCGAGTGTTTTTTTTTAACAAAATAGTCCATGCAGTTTCTGATATGTGAGGTAAGATATTGGGATAAAACGCATTCATGTACAATCACAGGATTCTCTTTTCTCCACTTCATACGCCTTTCCTTATACCCATTTAAAGTCTGCATAGCTTAGTATTCGGCGCTCATGAAACCCGTGATAATTCAAAACTATATGTGTATAGTCCATACGATAAACACTTGTGTGAGTTGATCTATACACATGAAATTTAAGCATTATCGATGAAAATCGGACGGATAAGCAAAATTATATTTACCAACATATAATATATTCTAGTAGAATTTATAATTGAACTTATAGAAACTTGCTAGTGCGATCTATAACTCCATAGTTTAAATGATTACATTCTATCATGCATTATTTTTTCTTTACCGAGATAAAAATGTCAATGTTGTTCACGGTAAATATGTGGGGAATACCTTATTCTTCAAAAGTTTTCACCTTACTTCTACAGATTTTTTGTTGAAAAAATCTTTTTGAGGAAAAAACAAAAGCAAGTGTTATCTTTTTGTTCTTTTAAAATATGTTTTGGGGTGTGTAAAAATGCTCTTATCTGATTGATCGGGAAAATAACTAGTGCTAATTGTAACGGAGACCGTTACAGATGTTCCCCAAACGCTCCCCAACTCCCTTTTGGTGCCATATTACCTGTAAGCTTCATTAAAAAAGACAAACTGTGTGCATGTGCAAGATGATCATACCTTCTTGTAGGAGTCCCTTATATCTATCTATGTTCTAAATCCCATCCTGTTTGGATGAAAACCAAGGGAGTTATAGCCATTTAAAGTTTCAGCCAATCAGATTGCAGCACACGTGCAATCGCGTGTTTTCATGAAAATTTTTCAATGCCATATTGTAGGATATCCTAATGCATGACTATGTTTTAAATTTCAAACCATTTCGTCAAAAAACAAAGGAGATATAGCCATTTAAAGTTTCAGCCAATCAGATTGCAGCACACGTGCAATCGCGTGATTTCATGATTTTTTTTTTTCTGCCATATTGTAGGATATCCTAATGCATGACTATGCTTTAAATTTCAAACCATTTCATCAAAAAACAAAGGAGATATAGCCATTTAAAGTTTCAGCCAATCAGATTGCAGCGCACGTGCAATCGCGTGATTTTATGAAAATTTCTCTATATCATATTGTAGGATATTCTAATGCATGACTTTGTTATAAATTTCAAAGCTTTTCGTCAAAAAACAAAGGAGATATAGCCATTTCAAGTTTCAGCCAATCAGATTGCAGCGCACGTGCATGCACGTGTTTTTATGATAATTTCTATATATCATGTTGTAGGATATCCTAATGCATGGCTATGTTCAAAATTTCAAAGGATTTCGTCAAAAAACAAGAAAGATATTGAGACTTTAGTGTTAGCCAATCAGATTGCGGCGCACGTGCATGCGCGTGAGATCTTGCTATTTTGACCATGTCATCTTGTCTATATTACTAATATATCCTTACATTATGAGTTTCAAAGCATTTCATCAAAAATTTAAAAAGTTACGCCTATATCAATTAAATCGGTCATTTCACTGTTGCACGTGCGCGCTCTTGCAAGCACGTGCGCGCAAAATGACCTTTGTTCGGCAAATCTACATAACATGTCTACTGACCCTAAAAACATTTTACCTTAGTCGGATGTGTAGTTTACAAGATCACTCGCGGACAAAATTTTCCCAGGAAGAAAAAAAATAATAATAACTAGTGCTAATTGTAACGGGAACCGTTACAGATGTTCCCCAAACGCTCCCCAACTCCCTTTTGGTGCCATATTCCCTGTAAGCTTCATTAAAGAAGGCAAAATCTATGTATTTAAGATGTAAACAACGTTTTCCCCAAAGTATACCAAGTATTTCAAATTTAAGCAATGCAGGCGTGCGCATGTGATTGCATGAGCGTAATAACGATATCATCTTGTCTACACTATTTTACTCATTGCACGTGCACTCACGTGCATGATGACCATACCTTCTTGTAGGAGTCCATTATGTCTGTCTATGTTCTTAATCCCATCCTGTTTGGTGGAAAAGCAAGGGAGTTATAGCCATTTAAAGTTTAAGCCAATCAGATTGCAGCGCACGTGCATGCGCGCGTTTTCATGACAACTATTATATATCATATTGTAGGACATCTTAAAGTATGCCTATGTTTTAATTTTCAAAGCATTTTGTAAAAAAAAACAGAAAAGATATTGAGATTTTTGTTTCATCCAATCAGAGCAAAGCGCACGTGCACGCACGTGCATGCATGTGAATGGTGACCATACCATCTTGTAGGAGTCCTTTATGTCTATCTATGTTCTAAATCCCATGCTGTTTGGTTGAAAACCAAGGGAGTTATAGTCATTTAAAGTTTCAGCCAATCAGATTGCAGCGCACGTGCATGCGCGTGATTTCATGAAAAATTTTATATATCATATTGTAGTACATCCTAATGCATGCCTATGTTATAAATTTCAAAGCATTTCATCATAAAACAAAAAAGATATTAAGATTTCTGTTTCAGCCAATCAGAGCAAAGCGCACGTGCATGCGCGTGAGTTCATGCAAATTTGACCGTGTCATCTTATCTACACAACTTATATATCTTTATATAATGAGTTTCGAAACATTTCATCAAAAAATATAAAAGTTACAACCATATTAAATATATCAGTCATTTTACTCATTGCACGCGCCCGCACGTGCATGCGTATGCGCGCAAAATGACCTTCGTTCCGCACATCTACACAACATGCCTACTAACCCTAAAAAGGTTTTAACTTAATTTGGTGAACAGTTTCTGAGAACACTTCCGGACAAAAAAGTACCGGAGAAGAAATAAGAAGAAAAAAGAATAATAATAATAATAATAATAACTAGTGCTAATTGTAACGGGGACCGTTACAGATGTTCCCCAAACGCTCCCCAACTCCCTTTTGGTGCCATATTCCCTGTAAGCTTCATTAAATAAGACAAACTCTGTGCATTTTTGACTTTAACAACGTTTTTCCAGAAGGATACCAATTATATTCAATTTTTAGCATTGCACCTAAACGCATGTGAATCCTTGTGTGTTATGACCATATCATCTTGTCTTTCAAGAGTATTTTTAAATATACTCGTTTCAAATGCACGCACGTGCGTGCACGTGCATCATGATCATACCTTCTTGTAGGAGTCCCTTTCATCTATCTATGTTCTAAATCCCATCCTGTTTGGTTGAAACACAAGGGAGTTATAGCCATTTAAAGTTTCAGCCAATCAGATTGCAGCACACGTGCATGCGCGTAATTTCATGATTTTTTTTAATATCATTTTGTAGGATATCCTAATGCATGACTATATTTCAAATTTCAAAGAATTTCGTCAAAAAACAAAGAAGAAATAGCAATTTAAAGTTTCAGCCAATCAAATTGCAGCACACGTGCATGCGCGT